ACTTCCCGAAAATTGCGTATATACATATCGTTTAGTTCGCAAACGTGCTAAGTCCACTTTTTATGAAAATCGAGATTTTAATGCAGTAAGATACCACAACTCAAAATAAATCATTACAAAAAAACAAGTTACCGTAATGTCGTTCTTAGTTGTTGTTATGGAGTGGTATGCAAATGTGCTAAGTCCAAAAAATCTAGAAAAAAATATGAACAATAACTCGAGAAAATACTAAGATATCTCAACGAAATTTGGTATGTACCTTTATACAAGGTAGGTTGGTATTAAAATTCGCGAAATCGTAGTGTAACCATGCGCACTTCCCATATAAAAGTTTTTTTCGTAAAACGCAGGATTTCAATAAATATTGGATATTTCAATATATATTGGATGCAAATTGTTGAAAATTAGTATATGATTTAGAATTTTGGTAAAAAATTATTATTATCAAATTTTTGATAAATGGGCGTGACCCCGCCCACTTACGATGAAAAGCTGTATCTCAGTAGCCCATTCTCCAATCCTTACCAAAGGACCCTTGCTTAGGTTCTAGCTAAGAAATTTGTTGAAAATCTTTGAAATCGGGCAATGACTACGCGCACTTTAAATCGATGATTGCGATAACTACTTAGCAGACAATTATATTATTATACATTTTTGCATAATGGGCATGGCGCCGCCCACTTATGACCACAAAAGTGTAATCGGTAACCGATTTATGAATTTCTACCAAACTCTGTGCACTTAATAATCTTGGTACGGAAAAGCAATTCATTGAAAATTATTCAAATCGGACCAAAATTACACCCGCTTTCCGTATATCTAACGGTAAATTTCAGAAATACGGAAACAATGATATTTCAATAACTGAGGTCCTAATTTACTCCAAGTTAATACTTACAGCTATCTCTTAACAATAAATACTTTATTGCTACAAAGGTGTATTTCGGTAACCACTTTATCGATTTCTACCAAACTTGGTTCAATTAAATCATTGAGTCTAACTCAGCATATTATCGAAAACGTTTGAAATCAGAAAATCCCCCTTTTTATCATGCGAAGGTAGTTTAAAGAAAGTTGAAACGACAATATTTGATACCTGCGCCGGGTATATAAAGTTCGGTTTCGCCCAGACTTATACTTCTTTACTTATTTTTTGCCTTTATAAATGGTACATAAATTTACGACTTAAAATAGTAATTTTTTGTTAACATCAATGAAATAAGACTATTAGGTTATTATTCATTTTAAAACTATAAAATATATTTAAAATAAACAACTAAATCTTTTAACAATAAAAAACAAATGAAAAACAGGTTGATAGAAATTGTGCACATTAAAAGAACAAAATCATAAGGAGAAAATGTGGTAAGTCCCAAAAGAGTCTATAAGTCTGCAACAGCTTTATTTTGAAATTAGCCGATTATTGGTAGTGAAAAAGACGAACTAAGGAAGAAACTGCATGTACAGATTAGGAAAATATTAACAACAAAAAAAGTTAGACGGTTTTTTGTCCCTCCAGAAAAATAAAAAATGGACTTAGCACGTTTGCGAACTAAGCCAACGATATGTGTATTTCTATCTGTCTTATTGTATACCAACTGCATGAATTGATCAAACGTTTTCCCACAAAATTGAAATTTCGAAATACATAATTCAGTATATTATTAATCTTAAGAATATGACCGTACATAATCAGCCTAATCATAAGTTTCATTTTCCCCGAACCGGTTCACTTTTTACTTTTGGTTTCCATGGTTTTACTAAGGGCGGATGACAAATTTTCGGGTGAATTTTTTTTCAGGCGAAACTCAGGATAAGGCAAAATATTATTAAACGTGAGATATGTACATAAGTACACTAAGCGACAAGTGAAAGTGTCAAGGTGAACACAAGGTGGTCTAATATAATATTCACAATTATTTTCAAAAAAATTGTTTGCATTAATTATTTGTGAAAATATAAGTCATTCTATAATATAAACCATATACAGTATCGGTCATATCTATAGCACGCCATTTCAAAGTGATA